TCTGCACGTTAACCAACGGCTCGGAAGAGCATACCAACAGCCACTTTCTGAAAGCGGAAGTACAATCTTATGCCAAGTATCAATGCGTACTTTCGATTTTACAAACTACACATTGAGCCAGTTTCTCAAAGCCGTCACGTGACCTCTGTCGTAGTGTGTACATTTGGCAGTGGCGTAGATTTGTGCGTCCCGTTGCCAGGACAACGACCATCAAACTTGAAATAATTCTAGCAGCCATAAACAGACGTCTTATGTTTTGAGTATGTGTTACCTTCACCCAAACTGCCATCGATTAGGACAAAATGATATATCAATTCAGTTGCCTGGGTCGACATCAAACCAGCCACGCCAGCTTACGATTTTGGGGATATTATCCCCAGTTACAATTATGACGCTTTGGTTGAAATGCAACGCTTATCAGGATGTGGAAGCAAAGGGACACGTGCCGATGGTGCAGCGGTAAGCGCGTCTGGGCGCGGGGTTTGGTTACCTGTGGCGCCCGCGTTTCCGCCAGGACGAGAGGCAGTTGACGCCATCTAACCGAAGCAGCTGAGTGCGTCCTAAACCCTAAATGACGACCATGAACAAGGGAGGAGTACGCTTGGCAGTGTTCAAGGATAGAGAGAGAGGGAAAGTGGAGACAGCTCCCCGTCCGCAAGGAGTTTGCGTGACCATTTCTGGTCGACTCGCATGAGGTGGTGCGCACTCACTTTGTATTTTGTCTGTGTTTGTAAGTCTCCGTGCTACGTAACAGAGCAACACGCCTTGTAGATTTGTGTGGCCTCGTGGAGACACGTGCCGAACTAGGGCTGGTTTTGGTGGCAATATTGTCCATAATTGATAAATTCGGTGAAGGAAGCTTTCTTCCACTCATCAGCTCCTTCATTGTTCAGGTTCATCCTAAAATGTTCCATTCAAGGATGCTTTATTTTGCATAGCGATTGTGGACGCGATCATGTGAAAAGTACATAGTGCCTGTGCTTAATAAGCATATCCTGGGCATTGAAGGTGGGACTGTCAGACCTTAGCCTTCAGAGCTTAAGGGAACATGTGAAGTAAACACGAACTATCATTGAGCACTGAAAAAGGGCCATTCATGGACCCAATCATAATCAGCCTGCTGTACTTGTCATTGGGAACAGGCTCTCTATATCGCTGATCATTGAGAGTATGTTCCTACATGATTTTATGCAGGCTAGCTGCTGCTGTATGGCATAGTGATGCGCAAGATGTATGCATCTATGCCATCCAAATGAAATCAATTTTAGAGTATAATCCTTGTCATGCTCTGCTATTCTAATAGCATTTATTGCACATCATGTCTCCAACCAGGGTAGGCACTACAGGCGATGCT